CTCTGTGAGTTCGAGGCCAGCCTGGGCTACCAAGTGAGTCCCAGGAAAGGCGCAAAGCTACACAGAGAAACCCTGTTTCGAAAAATCACATTAAAAAAAAAAAAAAAGTTTCTTTCCTATCACAGGTCTGTTTACTTTAAATCACATGAACACACACAGTTATTTGAGCTCTTCCTCACCCTGCTCACCCAACACAAATGCCTGGTACTGGAACCCAAGGCCATGAGAGTTTTTCATCTGTTCCTAGGAACCCTTCTTCTAGACAAACTCAATAATGTCAAGACTAGATGAAGACATGTTGACAAAACCATTTGGGGACTAGCAGACATTTTGACTTTTTTATTTACTCAACTCTAAATCAGTATAAAGGAACTGTCAAAAATTTAAAAAACCCACCCTCAAAGTGAACCTGTGTTGAGCTTCCCTTGTCCCCATTCAGCTTTGCACTGTATCTTTCCCTCCATATGTCTGCAGAATGTGTGTTCTCTCACCCTAGTCAAAGCTTTTCTATAGCAGTGATTCTGGCATCTGTCCGTATTTCAGTTTCCCACCGGTGAACTGTTGGGCCTCAGGTTTTTCCTCCCTTAATTCTCGAACTGGCGCAGAAGATAAACACAATCAAGACCGTTACACTAGGCCGGCTACAGAGTTCTGGAAGGACCAGACCCCGTTTGCTCTACAGATTCTGAGAAATCTGACTGCGTCCATGTGAGAACGGCTCAGCTAGAGAAGCATGCTTCTCCACCAAAGCTGCTCACTGAGCTCCCAGCTCCACCTCAGGAGCAGGCAGTCAGCTGACCATCATTAGTTTGCAGTCCTGGACTTTGCACTATCATCTACTCCGCGCTACCAGGCAGCTCTCCTGTCCCGGAAGCCCAAGGTGGACTCGGGCTGCACGTGGCGTCCTAAGGACACCATCACTCAGGGCACAGTCCCTATCACCCTCTGTCCACACGTGACTCAGCCAGTTCAGCACAGCACCTCCAAGAAAACTTATTCCGACCTCCCATCCAGGTCCGCTCCCTTCGAGTCGGACCCCCCCACCCCGCATAGTGGCTCAGCCTGAGCTGCACCCTGGACCAACCTCCATGTCAGAGATGCAACAGGATTGTAGAGCAGAGCTGGACTCTCGCCCAACGTTGAGAAAGACCCTCCTGAGGTGACCGAAGGCCGGAAAAGGATCTCCTGGGCCGCTTCCTGTGATGTCACAGTCGCATGGACTACATTTACCAGAAGTCTGTGCGAAGGTATTCCTGGACTCCCTGTGTGATAGTTACTCTTCCTAGATTAGTTCTGGCTGCCTGCAGTAGAGATGCGACTGAGAAACCGAGTGGACTGGACAGCTGTTAGGCCTGGGAAAAACCAATGGCACGAACGTCTGATTAAAGCAAGCTTCATTTCACAGGTGCACCAGAAACTGGTCAGTTGGCTTTCTTTCCCAAAGTATTTCAGAGCATCCCCTCATTGCCTTTTGGGGTCCATTCTAGGGAAAGAGTTAAGGTAAATAGAAAATGGATGTCGAGATAATTGGGCCTTAGAAGTGATGAAATTACAAAAAAAAAAAAAAAAAAGCTGATTCAATAATACATCGTATGGCAGGGGAATCATCAAGTTATCTGGAAAAACAGTTTCATAAGGCAAAAGTGCAATCATATCACAGGTTGTTTTTGTAAGGCAAATGGTGAGCATATATCATTGGGTCACAAGTTCAGCATAGGTTGAAACATGTTTTGGAGGGTACATTAGGCTTAGGAAACAGAAACTTATTCTTGTAAGCTATGGAGACTTAAAATCAATGCATAACAATGTGGTTTCTTAACAACAGTTTGGCTACTTTTTGGTTTCAAACAACCATGGGGAGTCAGTCTGGTATTCACATCCTGATCCACAACACCAGATGTGTGAATGTGTACTGCTGGAGATTTTTTTGGCTCTTTTGAGAGCCCACCAACTAGCTCCCAAATAAATTCATTCAGGGAGGCTTTTTCTTATTTATGAATGCTCATCTTTGGTTTGGCTTAGTTTCTTGTCAGCTTTCCTTAACTTATTACTTCTACCTTTTACCTCTGGGCCTTTCCCGTTCTCTTATTTCTGTGTCTTACTCTTACGCTGTGGCTTGCTGTGTGTGTAGCTGACTGGCTGGCTCCTGGAGTCCTCCTCCTCTGGCTGCTGGATCTCTAATCCCTCTTTCAGATTTCTACTTCTATTTATACGCTCTGCCTGCCAGCCCTGCCTATCCTTTCTCCTGCCTTGCTATTGGCTGTTCAGTTCTTTATTAGACCATCAGGTGTTTTACACAGGCACAGTAACACAGCTTCACAGAGTTAAACATATGCAACATAAACAAAAGTAATACACCTTAAAATATTCTATAACAAATGGGGGTCGAGACTTTGACAGAAATATTAGGCTTACAGGTCATTTCTGGTCCATGTGTTCTGATTTTAATCTTATTACAGCATTTAAAAAATCACATTGATCAGTTGTACTTTAAATCGATAAAGCAGTACTGTGCGGGATAATCTTTTTTTTTACCCTGTGAAGATCTGTCTTTGCCAAGGCACCTTCTGATTGGTTTAATAGAGCTGAGTGGCCAATAGCTAGGCAGGAGAGGACAGGCAGGATTCATGGGATAGAGTAGAAGAGATGAATCCAGGTGCAGGGAGACACCAGCTACTGGAGGACCAAGTCAGGCATACAGAATGGTGGAGACATTTAAAGGAAAGGCATGGGGCAGATCGTAGATTAATGAAGGCAGGTTAAATTAAGTTATAAGAGCTAGTTGGGGAAAAGTCTACACTAAAGGGAAAGCTTTCAAAATTACTAAGAAATCTCCCTGAACTTGTTCCCCATGCTGGATATCCTTGCCCAGGTTTAAGCATGGGGAGGAGCTCAGTCCTCCCTCAACTTGATGTGTCATGCTTTGTTCAAGCACATGGGAGGCCTGCTTCTTTCTGAAGGGAGACAGGAGGAGTGGATGAGGAGGGGGATAGATGTGAGTGTGTGTGGGGGAGGGGGGTAGGAGGAGAGGAGGGAGGGGAAACTGTGATTGGTATGTAAAATAAATGAAAAACCATTAATAACATAAAATAAAAGGAGTCACCCTGTCATTATTTCAGACTGTTGGTCCAGACAAGTAAGTAAAACTGCACAATGCAGTAATGTGAATGAAAAGGATCTTTTAGAAGATTCTGAAACCAGCCTTGTTCTCTGTGAATGTGCTAAGTGCTCAGAGGCTTCTGACAAATGGACCCAATCAAACCTGGACTGGAAAATTTAGAGACCTTCTCTGGGGGAAAAATAAAGGGGAAAAAACAGAACAAAACAAGTAAAACAAAAGGAAAGGAACTGAGGGAAAGATGAACAAAAAAGTAGAGGAAATCAATAAAGAAATTGAGAAAACGTCAAACAAAAAATGGGAAGAAATCTATAAAGAAAGAGAGGAAAAGACAAATAAAAACTTGGAAGAAAGCAATAAATCCCTTAAAGTAAACCACGAAAAAGCAATGAAACAGGTGAGGGAAACAGTTCAAGACCTGAAAAGGGAAACAGAAACAATGAAGACACAAACAGAGGGAATGCTGGAAATAGAAAATCTGAGTAAATGAACAGGAAACACAGATGTAAGCATAACCAACAGAATACAAGAGATGGAAGAGAACACCAAACAGACTAGACCCCCAAAAAAGTCCCCTTGCCACATCGTAATTAAACAACTAAACCTACAGAATAAAGGAAGAATATTAAGAGCAGCAAAGGAAAAAGGCCAAGTGACTTATAACGCAAACCCATCAGAATAACACCCGATTTCTCAATGGAGATTCTGAATGCCAGAAGGACCTGGACAGATGTAATGCAGATACTAAGAGACAATGTAGGCCAGCCTAGATTAATATACTCAGAAAAACTTTCAATCACCATAGACGGAGTGAACAAGACATGCCAAGACAAAACCAGATTTAAACAGTACCTATCCACAAATCCAGCCCTACAGAAAGCACTAGAAGGAAAATTCCAACCTAAGGAAGTCAGATACACCCATGAAACAGAATAGATAACCCCACAACAGTAAATCCCAAAGAAGAGAAATACACACACACTACCACCAAAAATAACAGGAATTAACAATCACTGGACATTAATAACCTTTAATATCAATGGACTTAATTCACCTATAAAAAGACACAGGCTAACAAATGGATACAAAAGCAGGACCCATCCTTCTGCTGCATATAAGAAACACATATCAACTTCAAAGATAGACACTACTTAAGAATAAAAGGCTGGGAAAAGTCTTTCCAATCAAATAGTCTTAAGAAGCAAGCTGGTGTAGCTACCTTAATATCCAACAAAATGGACTTCAAACTAAAATCAATCAAAAGAGATCTAGAAGGACATTACATACTCATCACAGAAAAGATTCACCAAGATGCAGTTTCAATTCTGAACATTTATGCCCCAAACACATATGTAAAAGAAACATTACTAAAGCTTAAATCACACATATAACCCCACAAATTAATGGTGGGAGACTTCAACATCCCACTCTCACCACTGGACAGATATGCCGGATCGAAACCTAACAGAGAAATAAGGGACTTAACTGATGTTATGACTCAAATAGACTTAATCGATATCTACAGAACATTCCACCCTAACAAAAAAGAATATACCTTCTTCTCAGCACCCCATGGAACCTTCTCTAAAATCAACCACATAAACAGTCAAAAAGCAAATCTCAACAGATACAAAAAAATTGGAATAACCTGTATTCTATGGTTTAAAGTTAGATTTCAACAACAACAAAAATTACAGGAAGCCTACAATCTCATGAAAACTGAATAATGCTCAACTGAATCACCAATGGGTCCAGGAAGAAATAAAGAAATTTAAGATTTCCTAGAATTCAGTGAAAGTGCATGTACTATATACCCAAACTGATGGGACACTATGACAGCAGTGCTAAGAGGAAAATTCATAGCACTAAATGCCCACATAAAGAAGTTGGAAAAATCTCACACTAGTGACTTAACAGCACACCTGAAAGCTCTAGAACAAGAAGAAGCAAAGTCACCCAGGAGAAATAGATGTCCAGAAATAATCAAATTGAGAGCTAAAATTAATAAAATAGAAACAAAGAACCAATGAAACAAAGAGTTGGTTCTTTGAGAAAAATCAACAAGATAGACAAGCCCCTATCCAGGCTTACCAAAAAGTAGAGCGAGAACTTCCAAATTAAAAAATCAGAAAATAAAAGGGAGACATAACAACAGACAATGAGGCATTCCAGAGAATCATCAGGTCATACTTCAAATACTTGCATGCCACAAATTGGAAAATCTAAAAGAAATAGACAATTTTCTGGATAGGTACCACATACCTAACTTAAATCAAGACCAGATAGATAAACGATTTAAATAGACCAATAACCCCTAAGAAAATAGAAACAGTCATTTCTATTTTCCCAACCAAGACCAAAAGTCTCCCCACCAAAAAAAGCCCAGGACCAGATGGTTTCAGCGCAGAATTCTACCAGATCTCAAAGAAGAGAATACCAATACTCTTTAAATTGTTCCACACAATAGAAACAGAAGGAACACTACCAAACTCCTTCTATGAGGCTACAATTACCCTGATTCCTAAGCCAAACAAAGATGCAACAAAGAAAGAAAACTACAGACCAATCTCCCTCATGAACATTGATGCAAAAATACTCAATAAAATACTGGCAAACAGACTCCAAGAACACATCAAAACAATTATCCACCATGATCAAGTAGGCTTCATCCTAGGGATGCAAGGGTGATTCAACATATGAAAGTCTGTCAATGCAATACACGACATAAACAAACTGAAAGAAAAAAAACTACATGATCATTTCATTAGATGCTGAAAAGACCTTTGACAAAATCCAACACCTCTTCATGATAAAGGTCTTGGAGAGATCAGGAATACAGAGAACATACCTAAACACAATAAAGGCAATTTACAGGAAGCCAACAGCCAACATCAAATTAAATGGAGAGAAACTCAAAGTGATTCCACTAAAACCAGGAACAAGACAAGGCTGTCTGCTCTCCCCATACTTATTCAATATAGTACTTGAAGTTCTAGCTACAGCAATAAGACAACAAAATGAGATCAAGGGGGATACAAATTGGAAAGAAAAAAGTCAAGCTTTCAGTATTTGCAGATGACATGATAATATACATTAGTGACCCCAAAAATTTCACCAAGGAACTCCTACAGCTGAATAAACACCTTCAATAATGTGACATGATACAAGATTAACTAAAACAAACAAACAAACAAACAAACAAACAACCCAATAGTCCTCCTATATACAAATGACATACAGGCTGAGAAAAAAAAAATCAGAGAAACATCACCTTTACAATAGCCACAAATAATGAAAATACCTTGTGGTGACTCTAACTATGCAAGTGAAGGACCTGTATGACAAGAACTTTAAATCTCTAAAGAAAGAAATTGAAGATGTCAGAAAAGGGAAAGTTCTCCCATGCTCATGGACACAGGTAGGATTAACATAGTAGAAATGGCAATCTTACCAAAAGCAATTGCTTTTTGCAATTACAGATTCAATGCAATCGCCCAGACCTGGAAAGAACAATACTCAACTTCATATGGAAAAACAAAACACCTAGGATAGCCAAAACAATCCTGTACAATAAAGCAATCTCTGAAGGCATCATGATTCCTGAATTCAAGCTCTACTATAGACCTACAGTAATAAAAACAGCTTGGTACTGGCATAAAAAGTGACATGTGGACCAATGGAATCTAATTAAAGACCCTGACATTAATCCACACAGGCATGAACACCTGATTTTTGACAAAGAAGCCAAAACTTCACAATGGAAAAAAGAAAGCATCTTCAACACATGGTGCTTGAATAACTGGATATCAACATGTAGAAGATTGGAAATATATCCATATCTGTCACTATGCACAAAACTTAAGTCCAAGTGGATCAAATCTCAACATAATTCCAGTTACTCTGAACCTAATAGAAGAGAAAGGAAGAAGTTGTCATGAACACATTGGCACCGGATATCACTTCCTACATACAATACCAGTAGTACAGACACTGAGAGCAACAATTAATAAGTGGGACCTCTTGAAATTCAGCTTTTGTAGGGCAAAGTACATGGTCAATAAGACAAAAAGACAGCCTACAGAATGGGAAAAGACCTTCACCAACCCCACATCTGACAGAGGATTGATCTACAAAGCATATAAAGAACTCAAGAAACTAGACATCAAAATACTAAACAGTCCAATTAAAAAATGGGCTAAAGAGCTAAACAGAGAATTCTCAAAAGAAGAATCTCAAATGGCTGAAAAAAATTTAAGGAAATGCTCAACATCCTTAGTCATCAGAGAAAAGCAAATCAAAATGACTCTGAGATACCACCTTAACACCTGTCAGAATGGCTACGATCAAAAACACCAATGATAGTCAATGTTGGAGAGAATGTGGAGCAAAGGGAACACTCCTCCACTGTTGGTGGGAATGTAAGCTAGTACAACCACTGTAGAAATCAATGGTAGTTTCTCAGAAAAATGGCAATCGATTTACCTCAAGACCCAGCCATCCCACTCTTGGGCATATACCCAAGGAATGCTCAATCATACTACAAAGATACATGCTCAACTATGTTCATAGCAGCATTATTTGTAATAGCCAGAACCTGGAAACAATCTAGATGCCCATCAATTGAAGAATGGATTAAGAAAATGTCATACATATACACAATGGAGTACTACTCAGCAGAGAAAAACAATGACAGCATGAAATTTGCAGGCCAATGGATGGAACTAGAAAAATATCATCCTGAGTCAGGGAACCCAAACCCAGAAGGACAAACATGATATATACTCACTCATAAGTACATACTAGATATGGAAACATGAATTATATAATCATTTTACAAAATAAACATCACATTCTTTACCCTGTACATTAGATATCTGGATATATTTTTGGATTTTAATAGTCCATAAGTTGTTTCTAGTCTTTTTAAGGGAACAGTATGTGGAGTATATCCAATAAGGATTTGGGACATGCATTCTCATAGATCTGACTTAAATTCATACAGATGCTGCTAAGAAGAGAACAATGGAATGCAGATTTTGAAAGAGTTGGCCATTGAACCACACACACCTTTCAATTCAAAATATGTTGCTGCATTTGATAGTGACTCTGGAGGACACTATGACAGGCACAAATATAACCAGAGCTGACAGTGTAATGAAAATCTGGGCTGCTCAGGTTTATTCCTTGAATGTATTTGACCTCTGTTTAAATCTTATGCAATGTCTCTCCATGGACTCTATATAATCATATAGATGGATCAAGAGAAACTGAATGTCCTCACCCAGCACACCTCCCCTCCAGAGTTTTCCAGATATGACATGTCTAACACAGCAAGGCTCATTCATGAGTTGTAAACACAAGGAACTCCCTCCCTCACACTGACATTAGAATACAATGAAAGAAGCCTGGGAAAAAAGAGACAGGACTGCTCAACAAGGGGACCTGGACTGGACCTGTGAAGAGCAGGAACCAACATGAGCACTTTGCTTTACTGGTTGGACATGGCAGTGCCCAGGTGAAGGACAGGGAGGAAGTGGTTTTGTTCTGGCTCACTGTAAGAAGCATCTGCACACAGTGGAACCTCTGGAGTAAGGACAGGGGAAGGCATCCCAGCTGCAACTGCAGAAAAAGACCCAGGAATGTAACCACAGCAGCCACATCAGTCAAGAACTGCAGAATGGAAATGAAGAAATAATGGAGTCTCAGATTAGAACGAAAGGAGCAAACTGGAAGAAATCAGTGAAACCAGAAGAAATCAGCATCAGGTCATAAAAGTGACAAACACAGATTAATATCCAAAAAGAATGAATAGTCACTACATATAGGGAGGAATATTCTAGGCAGTTAAAGAGAAATTCTTCCTCACAGAGTAAATGAAAACAAGTATGTAATCCCCAAAATTTAATACCGATAACGAAAGCATGATAGTGAATGAAGAGGCCTAACTTAACATCAGTGCAGCCACGATAGGCTGTAGACTAATGATACAAGGACAAGGCCTCACCCTTACTATAACCAGGAAAAGCAACAGACTGTACCCTGCAGGAGACCAATCAAAATTGAGACAAGTACTAAAAGCTCTAGAACACAAGGAATAGCTTACATAATTTGTATATAGATTCCCAGTTTCCTTGCAGCAACGCCCATACCAATCACTGTTTAACAAAACTTCTGTTACCTCACTCCTGCCCAATCATGAGTCCACCCTCATCTGAATCTGGAATTCCCCAATCCCCCATCCTTTACTCCTTAAAAACCCTGCCTCAACTGAGCTCAAGGCTCTCCCTGATCCAACTGTTGTGCTGGAATGGACAGGGAGCCCAAGCCTGTGCTTATAATAAAGTTTCTTTGCTTTTGCATATGAACTTGGACTCCTGAGGATCTCTGGGGGGCTCATGACACATAAGAGTGAAAACACATTTCAATTACACATGGAATAGACCATAGAAATTAAGCACATGTAAGATAAATGAAATGAACAAAAGAAAGTATTTATCAAGTCCATAAAATATGTTCAAGTGTTTCCTTGTTACAGAAGCAGATAGCATAAGCTGTCCTTGAATTTGTTTTGAAATAGAGGAGGACCAGAGGATCTTGCCTGCCCCTCACAAATGCAGAGATGTCAGGGATGTGCAATAGAGTAGACTGAAGTTTCTTTCCTATCACAGGTCTGTTTACTTTAAATCACATGAAAACACACAGCATGTGAGTTCTTCCTCACCCTGCTGACCCGACACAAATGCCTGGCAGTGGAACCCAAAGCCATGAGAGGTTTTCATCTGTTCCTAGGAACCCTGCTTCTAGACAAACTCAATAATGTCAAGGCTAGATGAAGACATGTTGACAAAACCATTTGGGGACTAGCAGACATTCTGCCTTTTTTATTTACTCAACTATAAATCAGGATTAAAGGAACTGTCAACAATTTAAGAAAACCCACCCTCAAAGTGAACCTGGGTTCAGCTTCTCTAGTCTCCATTCAGCTTTGCACTGGGTCTTTCCCTCCATATGACTGCAGAATGTGTGTTCTCTCACCCTAGTCAAAGCTTTTCTATAGCAGCTGAATCTGGCATCTGTCCGTATTTCAGAATTTCCCACCACTGAACTGTTGGGCCTCAGGTTTTTCCTCCCTTAATTCTCGAACTGGCAGAGACAATGAACACAATCAAGACCGTTACACTAGGCCGGCTACAGAGTTCAGGAGGACCAGACCCTGTTTGCTCTACAGATTCTGAGAAATCTGACAGCGTCCATGTGAGAACCGCTCAGCTAGAGAAGCATGCTTCCCCACCAAAGCTGCTCACTGAGCTCCCAGCTCCACCTCAGGAGCAGGCAGTCAGCTGAGCATCATTAGTTTGCAGTCCTGGACTCTGCTCTATCATCTACTCCGCGCTACCAGGCAGCTCTCTTGTCCCGGAAGCCCAAGGTGGACTCGGGCTGCACGTGGCGTCCTAAGGACACCATCACTCAAGGCACAGTCCCTATCACCCTCTCCCCAGCCCTGACCTGCAACCTCACGTGACTCAGCCAGTTCAGCACAGCACCTACAAGAAAACTTATTCCGACCTCTCACCCAGGTCCGCTCCCTTCAAGTCGGATCCCCGCACCCCACATAGTGGCTCAGCCTGAGCTGCACCCTGGACCAACCTCCATGTCAGAGATGCAACAGGATTGTAGAGCAGAGCTGGACTCTCACTCAACTTTGGAAAAGACCCTCCTTTGGCGACCGAAATCCGAAAAGGATTTCCTGGGCCGCTTCCTGTGATGTCACAGTCGCATGGACTACATTTACCAGAAGTCTGTGCGAAGGTATTCCTGGACTCCCTGTGTCATAGTTACTCTTCCTAGATTAGTTCTGGATGCCTGCAGTAGAGATGCAACTGAGAAACAGAGTGAGTGGACTGGACAGCTGTTAGGCCTGGGAAAAACCAATGGCACGAATGTCTGATTAAAGCAAGCTTCATTTCACAGGTGCACCAGAAACTGGTCAGTTGGCTTTCTTTCCCAAAGTATTTCAGAGCAAACCCTCATTGCTTTTTGGGGTCCATTCTAGGGGAAGAGTTAAGGTTAATAGAAAACAGATGTCGAGATAATTGGGTCTTAGAAGTGATGAATTTTTTTTTTAAAGCTGGTTCAATAATACATCATATGGCAGGGGAATCATCAAGTTATCTGGAAAAACAGTTTCATAAGGCAAAAGTACAATCATTTCACAGGTTATTTTTGTAAGGCAAATGATGGGCAAACATCATGGGTCACAAGTTCAGTATAGGTTGAAACATGTTTTGGAGGGTACATTAGGCTTAGGAAACAGAAACTTATTCTTGTAAGCTATGGAGACTTAATATCAATATATATATAAAATGTGGTTTCTTAACAACAGTTTGGCTACTTTTTGGTTTCAAACAGCCATGGGGAGTCAGTCTGGTATTCACATCCTGATCCACAACACCAGATGTGTGAATGTGTGCTCCTGGAGATTTCTTTGGCTCTTTGGGGGAGCCCGCCAACCAGCTCCCCCCTCCCCCCAAAAAAAATTCATTCAGAGAGGCTTTTTCTTATTTATGAATGCTCGGCTTTGGCTTGGATAGTTTCTTGTCAGCTTTCCTTAACTTATTACACCTGGGGCTGAAGAGATGGCTCAGAGATTAAGAGCACCGACTGCTCTTCCAGAGGTCCTGAGTTCAATTATCAGCACCCACATGGTAGCTTACAACCACCTGTAATGAGATTTGGCTCCCTCTTCTATATACATAATAGAACTCATTAAAAAAAAAAACTTATTACATCTACCTTTTACCTCTGGGCTTTTCCGGTTTCTTATTTCTGTGTCTTACTCTTAAGCTGTGGCTTGCTGTGTGTGTAGCTGACTGGCTGGCTCCTGGAGTCCTCCTCCTCTGGCTGCTGGATCTCTAATCCCTCTTTCAGATTTCTACTTCTATTTATACGCTCTGCCTGCCAGCCCTGCCTATCTGTTCTCCTGCTTTGCTATTGGCCAGTTCTTCATTAGACCATCAGGTGTTTTACACATGCACAGTAACACAGTTTCACAGAGTTAAACAAATGCAACCTAAACAAAAGTAAAGCACCTTAAAAAATTCTACTACAAATGTGAGTCAAGACTTTAACAGAAATATTAGGCTTACAGGTCATTTCTGGTCCATATGTTCTGATTTAATCTTACTACAGCATTTAAAAAAATCACATTGACTCAGTTGTACTTTAAAACGATGAAGCAGTACTGTGTGGGATAATCTTTTTTTACCCTGTGAAGATCTGTCTTTGCCAAGGCACCTTCTGATTGGTTTAATAGAGCTGAGTGGCCAATAGCTAGGCAGGAGAGGACAGGCAGGATTCATGGGATGGAGCAGAAGAGATGAATCCAGCTGCAGGGAGACACCAGCTACATGAGGACCAAGACAGGCATCCAGAATGGTGGAGACATTTAAAGGAAAGGCATGGGGGCAGATCATAGATTAATGAAGGCAGGTTAAATTAATTTATAAGAGCTAGTTGGGGAAAAGCCTACACTAAAGGGCAAGCTTTCAAAATTACTAAGAAGTCTCCCTGAACCTGTTCCCCATGCTGGATAACCTTGCCCAGCTTTTATGAAGAGGGAGGAGCTCAATCCTACCTCAACTTGATATGGCATACTTTGTTCAAGCACATGGGAGGCCTGCCCCTTTCTGAATGGTGACAGAGGAGTGGATGAGAAGTGGGAGAGATGTAAGTGTGTGTGTGTGTGTGGGGGGGGGATTGGAGAAGTGGAGGGAGGGGAAACTGTGATTGGTATGTAAAATAAATGAAAAACCATTAATAACATAAAATAAAAGGAGTCACCCTGTCATTATTTCAGACTGTTGGTCCATACAAGTAAGTAAAACTGCACAATGCAGTAATGTGAATGAAAAGTATCTTTTAGAAGATTCTGAAACCATCCTTGTTCTCCGTGAATGTGCTAAGTGCTCAGAGGCTTCTCACAAATGGACCCAATCAAACCTGGACTGGAAATTTTAGAGACCTTCTCTGGGGGAAAAATAATGGGGAAAAAACAGAACAAAACAAATAAAACAAAAGGAAAGAAACTGAGGGAAAGATGAACAAAAAAGTGGAGGAAATCAATAAAGAAATTGAGAAAACATCAAACAAAAAATGGGAAGAAATCTATAAAGAAATAGAGGAAAAGGCAAATGTAGATGTAACCAACCGTCTTATTAAATAAGAAACACAGAACCAATGTAAAGAAGAAAGCCAAGAGGTCAGAGCTCAGAGCTGAAACCTTACCCTTCCTCCTGTGGTTGTCCTACCTCTCCGAAAGAGACCTACTTCCTATGTGTCTGTCTTCAAATAGTCTTTCTGTTCTGCCTTCTCATTGGTTGTAAACTCAAACACATGACTGTCTGTTAGTACAGCCCTCCAGCTCTTAAAGGTGTATGTCTCCAATGCTGGCTGTATCCCTGAACACACAGAGACTTACCTAGCTCTGCCTACCAAGTGCTGGGATTATAAGTGTATGCCACCACCACCCTGCTTTCCTATGGCTTGCTAATAGCTCTGATCCCCGGGGAACTTTATTTATTAACATACAATTAAAATCACATTCCAGTACAAATAAAATACCACCATAGACAAATAAAAAATTGGAAGAAAGCAATAAATCCCTTAAAGTAAACCATGAAAAAGCAATGAAACAGGTGAGGGAAACAGTTCAAGACCTGAAAAGGGAAACAGAAACAATGACGAAGACACAAACAGAGGGAATGCTGAAAATAGAAAATCTGAGTAAATGAACAGGAAACATAGATGCAAGCATAACCAAAAGAAAAAAAGAGATGGAAGAGAGAATCTCTGGTGTAGAGGATACAACACAGCAAATAGATTCATCAGTCAAAGAAAACAACAAAGACAAAAAAGTCATAACACAAAATGCCCAAGAAATCTGGGACACCATGAGAAGACCAAACCTAAGAGTAATAGGGATAGAAGAAGGAGAAGAATACCAACTGAAAGGCACAGAAAATATACTAAACAAGATCATAGAAGAAAACTTTCCCAACTTAAAGAAGGAAATACCTATGAAGATACAAGAAACCTATATAAAAAAAAAACCAAACAGACTAGACCCCCCCAAAAAGTCCCTTCACCACATAGTAATTAAACAACTAAATCTATAGAATAAAGAAAGAATATTAAGAGCAGCAAAGGAAAAAGGCCAAGTGACTTATAAGGCAAACCCATCAGAATTACACCCGATTTCTCAATGGAGATTCTGAAAGCCAGAAAGACCTGGACAGATGTAGTGCAGATATTAAGAGACAATGTAGGCCAGCCTAGACTAATATACTCAGAAAAACTTTCAATCACCGTAGATGGAGTGAACAAGACATTCCAAGAGAAAACCAGATTTAAACAATACCTATCCACAAATCCAGCCCTACAGAAAGCACTAGAAGGAAAATTCCAACCTAAGGAATTCAGATACACCCATGAAACACAGGCAATAGATAATCCCACAGCAGTAATCCCAAAGAAGAGAAATACACACATACACACACTACCACCAAAAAATAACAGGAATTAACAATTACTGGACATTAATATCCCTTAATATCAATGGACTTAATTCACCTATAAAAAGACACAGGCTAACAAATGGATACAAAAGCAGGACCCATCCTTCTGCTGCATACAAGAAACACATATCAACTTAAAAGATAGACACGACTTAAGAATAAAAGGCTGGGAAAAGTCTTTCCAATCAAATAGTCTTTAGAAGCAAGCTGGTGTAGCTACCCTAATATCCAACAAAATGGACTTCAAACTAAAATCAATCAAAAGAGACCTAGAAGGACATTACATACTCATCACAGAAAAGATCCACCAAGATGAAGTTTCAATTCTGAACATTTATGCCCCAAACACAAGGGCACATACATATGTAAAAGAAACATTACTAAAGCTTAAATCACACATATAACCCCACAAATTAATGGTGGGAGACTTCAACACACCACTCTCACCACTGGACAGATATGCCGGATCGAAACCTAACAGAGAAATAAGGGACTTAACTGATGTTATGACTCAAATAGACTTAATCGATATCTACAGAACATTCCACCCTAACAAAAAAGAATATACCTTCTTCTCAGCACCCCATGGAACCTTCTCTAAAATCAACCACATAAACAGTCAAAAAGCAAATCTCAACAGATACAAAAAAATTGGAATAACCTCCTGTATTTTATGGTTTAAAGTTAGGTTTCAACAACAACAAAAATTACAGGAAGCCTACAATCTCATGGAAACTGAATAATGCTCAACTGAATCACCAATGGGTCAAGGAAGAAATAAAGAAAGAAATTTAAGATTTCCTAGAATTCAATGAAAGTGCATGTACTACATACCCAAACTTATGGGACACTATGAAAGCAGTGCTATGAGGAAAATTCATAGCACTAAATGCCCACAAAAAGAAGTTGGAAAAATCTCACACTAGTGACTTAACAGCATACCTGAAAGCTCTAGAACAAGAAGAAGCAAAGTCATCCAGGAGTAAGAGATGCCAGGAAATAATCAAATTGAGAGCTGAAATCAATAAAATAGAAACAAAGAGAACAATACAAAGAACCAATGAAACAAAGAATTGGCTCTTTGAGAAAATCAAGAAGACAGACAAGCCCTTATCCAGACTAACCAAAAGGCAGAGAGAGAGCACCCAAATTAACAAAATCAGAAATGAAATGGGAGACATAACAACAATGAGGAAATCCAGAGAATCATCAGGTCA